GGCTATCGCGCCCACCCGCCGCCGCCGGCGCCCGACCCCTGTGATTGCATTGAGCGTTGGAACGATTCAGTCTTCGAATATATCAAAAACACTAAATGTTACTGCGGCCACTTTTACGACTACGGAAACGATGGTGTCTTCTTGCCGGATGAATTACCTTTCTTTGAAAAACCAACACAAAATACACCCTTTCGGTTTAACTATCAGACTATATACGATTTAAATGAGAAGCAGCTCTTCGTCGAGAAGGAATTCAAAAAACTTTGGGACACGGACAGCGTGCTGGGTCCTCCCGGTGCCGACAGAGATAAAAAAGATAAAAAGAAACTAAAATCACGGAGGCTGTCTGCGAGTACGATTAATGAGAATCTTAACCCAAGAGACTGTTTAAGAAGTGCGCTTAGAAAATTAAGGCGAGATAACATTGCAGCTCGACTACCTGATGTTCATTTAGTTCCGATATTGAAGGAGTGGATGCGACATCGTATATACGGGCCTCATACTTCGAGGGCAAAAGCTAGGCTATTAACGCGAAGTTCTAATGACTGGCTAAGGTTCTGGGCACTTTCGTTAAAGGATTACATGCACGTTTTCCCTCCCAGAGACCCGAAATACGCCGGTCAGACAAATTGGCTTCACAAGCACAGTCTAAACCAACATTTCCGAAAATTTACTCGAAAATACAAGATGGACGTGTTTAAAGCATTCGCAACTTTCAATAACATGTTGTGGACCACTATGTGCCAAGCGCAGTTCCCGGGTAAGAACTTTAGAGAAATATATTTCTCGTATCTTTACGATAAAGTGGAGGATTTGCTGTTAATGCATCCGTATAGTGTTAGAGAAACAGCGGAACGGAAGAAGATAATGGAAAGCAAGCGGTACAGCTGTGCCCCACCCATCGAACGAGACGAGTGAACGAGTGGGAATGCGAAAGAATATTACAGTCATTGAGGTCAGGAATAAAATTTCTGTTCTAAAAAGCATATGGCTTCTACAGTTTGAGACAAATTTTATTTGTAATCTACATTATCTGATCTCTCTTCTAAATAAAATTTTCACAGCACTATTTTTATTGTTTTACTTTTATAAAATTAAAATGTAGTTAACGCAAGAATAAATTTTAAATTTACTAGGAATCTTCATAATTATCTTCTTTATCCTATTCCCGTAGGGTCGGCGCAACTGGTTATTGTCCTCTACATAACTCTATCATCCGTCATCTGTTATCACTCTCCTCTTGATCATGTCACTTTTCACGCAATCCATCTTTCTCTTTTTAGGTCTACCTCCACCGGTTTATCTCTCCACACTCAACTAACGTACTTCTTACTCGCGATTCATCCTACCTCATGACATGCCCATACTATGCTAACCTTTTACTCCTTAATTTCTCTACTACTGGGGCTACTATCAAACGTCCTCTAATATTCTAATTTCGTATCTTATCCATTCGTGTTAGCCCTCACATCCATATCATGCATTTCTGCCACTAGTCTCTCATCCGTCCCTTTTATTACCAACACAAAGATTCATACATCATGACAGGTCTTACGACAGCCTTGTAAAGATTTGCTAGCGATCATCGTCATCAACTTGCCCTTATCCCTTATGGAGGGTCGGCACAGTATGTGCTGCTCTTCCATACATCTCTATCAGCCGTCATATCTGAATCCAATCCTTTCTTAAGCATGTCCTCTTTCATACAATCCATCCATACTTTCTTCGGTCTTCCTCTTCCTTTGTTTTTTTGCTAGCGATGAGGACTATATTTAAACTATTGGGTGGGTAAATGAAAAATGTAATGTAATCCATAATTTATTGTGATAAGAATATTGTTATACCTAATAAGGTATATTTACATAAAGTTATGGCTTAAAATTATTTTTTTCACTGTAAACAACTAAGTTGTTGATATTGTATTTGCAAGACAAATAATTAAACATTATAACCGAAATTAATTTGTTCAAAATAGCATTTCCAAAATGCAACTAAATTGAATGAATATTTAACGTTTTTTTTATTACAACATTCATACACAATGACCTCGTTATAATACTCAAGGGTATTAAAAATAATTTCTCTTTTGTATACCGATACTACAATTAAACATAAAGCTAATGTTATTATACAAGTCTTACATTATTTATTATAAAATCTATAACGTTTTATTTTTAAAATACAACACTAGAGCTACAATTGTAATGAAGTACAATCAACGACAGCCAGCTGAGAAACTAACTTTTAAAATATTGACCAAAATCCATATTAACATGTGGTAAAATATTGTGATTCTAGGTTCTCTTAAACAATAATTTTATAAGTTCTTTTTGTCATTCAAATTTCATTTTTGACAATGCTACTACATCTTCAATTTAAACATAATCGAATTAAAAAAGACTCATAAATTTTATTTCATTGTAAAAACCATCTGTCGCTAACTGTACCACCACACACTACAATTCTACTCTAAAGGATATTCAATTGTCTTTGGTATCATTGTTACAGAAAACAAACATATTGTCGATGTTTAGCTATAGAAACATCAAATCGGATTTATTTTAGACAATACTGATATTTTTAACGAAAATTAGTCACTTAAAGCATCTCTTTGTATTAAAAACTAAAGAACAACATTAACAAAACTACAAAGAAATAGCTAAAACAGTTGGTATTTAGATATAAAAATTAAGAAAAATACACCTTAACTCGAGTACATCAAAACAATACAAAAAGATAATAGTAATATTGCTAATGTGAGAAATGCAAAATATTTCAATGTTATATATAATTTACAATTAGCATATTTTGTAGGGTGTGTAATTTAACAGAAGCATTATTTTTGCGTGTGCAATACGAGACAAGCTTAACTATTTGTTAATTTTTAAGAACGGTATAATATAAATCGTGATTGTTTTTATTAAAGGAGATCTGAGAAATCTATTTTAAATGTATTTGATGCGATATTACCATTAATATAATTGTTTACGCTTACAAAAAGAGCGGGAAAAATAACAGCAGCAATTATTGCTTGCAAAGATTATTATATTGTAGAACGGCGCACATATTTGAAATCTGTCAGTTCCATAGATTAAAATTTGACGGTTGCACAGAGTAAAAAGTTGACATCTATAGTTCATGACATAGATTAAAAAGGTTATATCTGCAGTTCGTGGTGTGAGTGTGTGGGC